GCCCAGCCATCAAGAGGGAGAGGTTTTTTAGTCCCAAAAGGAAAAAAAAAACTGGAAAGGAAATGGCAGAAATCGTCCCCCCAAATCCACCCATTCCTGGAGGGGAACCACAGGCGCGATCCACCGGGAGGCCCTTTGGTCACCCCGGGCCCCGGGCGGGCATTAAACCCCCGAAACTCTCTCCAGGTAAACCCGGTAAACACCCAAAACCAACAAATACAGATACTAATGCCGAAAAAAAAATCCCCCCCCAGACCAACAATACCACCAATCCGATAACATTTTTCTTTGGGAAAATTTAAACGGGCTAAAGCCAGCAAAAAAACAAAAATCCCTTTTCATCCTGGATTTGCTTGCAGGGGGAAAAGGAAAATTTCGCGGCTTTAAACAAAAACCCCCACAAAAAGGATCACTTGGACAATAAAATAGGGACCCCCCAAAGGGGTTTAAACCTATAAGATGTGACAGAGTGAACGGGAAAAGGGGGGGGTTTGGCCTGAAACCTTTGCAGACACTTGTTTTGCACAGAACTGTTTAAATTCCTCAAATCCGTAGGGGAATTTTACCCAGTAAAGTCGAGAACCAAAAACCTAGTCTTTGGGTGGTAGTCTACAACCCCCGGGAAAATGAAAACACCCCCAGAAATTTCCAGGAACAGCGGGAAAAAATTTGACCACGCCCTGGAAAAATCTTCCAGCCCTTGCACCCAACACCCTTGCTCCGGGGGGTTTTCAACTTAAAAGGAAACCTAAAATGGGGGAATATAGCAAATAAAAATTTGTTCAGTAATAACACCAAGGGGCAGCCCCAAAATGAAAACTCACACTCACACGAGTTTTTAAAAATCTCTGCCCAAAATTAAATTTTAAACCACAAAAAATAGACCTACTAGACGGAGAAAACACAAAGACCTCATATTCACTAACAATATGACTGATAAGAAATGTCACCAAATCAAAAACAATAAAACCGATCACAACAAATTGGGGTTTCAAAACAGGGTAGCGGGACCCCCCAAAACCGAAAAAAAGAGACAAGTCACGAGGGAGCATTCCCCAAAAATTCAACTTCAAAAACAAAAACAAAAGGGGGCCCAAAAAAACCCAAGTCCTAACCGATATAACCCTGAAATATACAAGCAACACAAAAACCCAAACTTATCCTTTAAACAGATTAACTCGGTGGCACTCGATGTATGCAAAAGGGCTTATTCCCCTTAAAAAAAAGGGAGAGAGTGTAAAATAAAAGAGAAAAGGCGCTCCCTTTAAAAGGCAACGGAAAAGAAAACAAGCGGCAAAAAGGGGTCAATATATCTAAATGCGCGGGGAGACACGGGTCAGAGAAATAGAACCCATCGAATTTAAAGCTAAAAGAATCCTTTAGGAGCCCAGGAATCGGGGGAAGAACTAAAACTATAAAGAAATCAAAAGGGAAAACCCAAAGTTTTCTTCTCCTAGGGCCAAATCAAAATCGAGAACAAGGGCCCAGTTTTGGGCCCCCCCACTTAAACAAAAAGGGCCCAAAACCCAAGATGACAGCAAGGAAATAGTGAGCACCAATCCCAAAAAGACTCAGTTTTTAGCAAGCCCTAACCAACTGAAGCCCAAAAGATCAAAATGAATTTTTTATGAAAAGCCAAAAAATTTTGGGATTAACAAAGCCTATCCAAATTTTATCCTAAACCCCAAAAATGCCTTCGAACAGGCGTAAATAAACATGCCCAAAGCCCCCTTTTTGCCCCAGGGCCAGACTCAGGGAACCTGTGTTAAACAAGAACTGCAAGAAGCCCCAAACACACCCTTTTTCCCAAACCATGGGAGAGGGAGCAGGGACAGGGGGGGTTTCGTCCCCCCATTTTACTAAAAACAACAAAAACAAGCCCCCTCCAAAAGGGGGGAAAGTAAAGCAACAGCAAAGAACTACAGACCAATAGCACTAACACCCCAAATATCATAAAAATCTTTAAAAGGGGCCCCCCCCCCTTAAAAAAGCAAGACACCCCCATCTAAAAACCCCATCAGTTACACAACCCCAAAGGGCAAAAAGGGTTTAGAACAGGTCGCTCCTTCGGGCCCTCAACTACTGGATCACTCCGACAAGGTCCTAAATGCACTAAACCAAAAAGAATGCAGATGTAAAAATTTTACAGACTTTGCAAAACCCTTTCGACAAGTGGACCATGGGTAATAGCGCACAAAATGCCCCGCTAAAGGAAAAACCAGGAAAAGTGGGTTCGATGGATCTAAAATTTTCCTCACTAACAGAACACAGAGAGTAGTCGCCCAACCCAAGAAAAATTCCGGGGCAGCTACGGGAAAAGGCTCTGGTTTCCCCAAGGCACGTAATAGCCCCCCATCTTGTTCCTCAACCCATATCCGACATAGACAAGGATGTCAGCCACAGCAAACCCTGTCTTCCTTTGGGAGATACAACCCCAAACTGGGATGGGCATGTCTTTTCCTTTTTCAGACCCTGCAAGGGTCCCCCGGCGGAAAATTTAACCAAATCTTTTAGTGGGCCCGCAAAAAACCAAAATGAAAAATTTTAAAGATGAGAAATTTTTAATTACCAATTTTTGGTTAAAAAATGAGGGGAAAATTTTAAAACTTCCCAGAGTACAAAACAAATTCGGGCCACAAAAAAAGAGCGAAAACCCCCAACGGCAAAGGGCCTGGGGGTGATTATGTTCCCGGGGGATCTCACCTCAAAGGGCCATAACTTGTTATCCCAACCAACTGCTAGAAAAATGACGGAAAGGTAATAGAACCTTCAAAACTAAGGGGAGGCCAAGCCCAAAGAAAGACACTTTTTCAGGTCACTTTTTTTATCTAGGCTGGGAAAATTGCCCGCACTCTTAAAAACACCTTTCAAGGCAGGTGGAAAAATTGGGCCCACCTAGAAAATGTACAAGAAAATTTCACCGGGGCCAAAACGGGGAAAAAATAAAACAAACCCCAAAATTTCTGGGAGCGCTTGAGGTTTTTAAAACCCGTATTCCCCGGGAAAGCAGGGGAGAGATACATGAAATTTTTAAACCTGGAAAAACCTAGAGGACTATTTCCGAACTTGCAAAAACGAAAATCACTCACAAAGAAACAAAAGACTTGGCAGACGACCCATCCCCCCAATGAAAAGCAGGGGGGTCCCTACACGTTTTAAAATCCATACAAAAAGTGCCAGGGGGCCCCGAACCCGTTTTAACTCCTCCCCTTTAACCCCATAAGGGGGATTACCAACCCGAACCCCCGGGAATTTTTTTTCAAGCGGGACTGGACAAGCACCTAAACAGTTTTTTTACACCCCCTGTGGGTTTTGTACGTTGGGTTTTGGGGGTGCAGCCAGAAACAACACCCGGTTTATCAGGCGCTGAATCCACCAGGAGGCCTGGTCACAGACCGGGGCCCCCGGGGGGTTGCCCCCCCAAAAATCCTCCAGGAAAAATCCAGGGAAAAAACAGGGCAAGTTTAAAGACATAAAACCAAACAGGACAAGTTTCCCGCCATACACCACATAGGACAAGTTTTCTGCCATACAAACCCCATAAAGGGCAAGTTTTTTCTGCCATACACCACAAAAGGACAAGTTTACTGCCATACACCACATAGGACAAATTTGCTGCCATAAAACCACAAGGGCCCAAATTTTTCTGCCATACACCACATGACAATTTACTGCCATAAAACCCCCACAGGGCAAGTTTTACTTTCCCTACAACCCCCTTAGGACAAGTTTTTGCCAAAAACCCCCCCACAGGAAAAATTTTTTCTGCCATACACCACACAGGAACAAGTTTCTGCCATACACCACATAGGAAAATTTACCGCCCCTACCCCATTAAACCGGATATTTTTTTCTGCTACAAATCACACGCAAGTTTTCCTACCAAAACACCTCACACAGGGCAATTTTACTACCCTAATTTCCATCACACAAAGGGCAGTTTTAAAATGCCATACACCACACACAGGGCCCGTTTTTTTAAAAAAAACAAACCCCACACAGAACAGTTTACTTTTCCCTACACCCTCACACAGAACAGTTTTCTACATACACCACACAAAAGGACAGTTTTCTACCCAAAAACCATCACACGGGCAGTTTTTAACCTACCAACAAACCCTCAACACAGGAACCCGTTTTACTACCCAAAACCATCACACGGAAAAGTTTTTTTTTAAATACCATACAACCCCTCACACAGGACAGTTTTAACTAAAAATACAACCTTTACACAAAGGGCAGTTTTAACCTTTCCAAAACACCCTCACAAAAGGGCCGGGTTTTCTTTTCTGCCATACACCCATCACAGGGGTTCACTTTTCCCCTCGAATCTGTTTACCCGACTGGGAGATTATCATTTTTTCCCGTAACCTTTTTAAAGCAAGGGTTTTAAAAAAAAATCAAGGGAAAAATTTTGCGGGTCAGTTAAAATCAAAATTTAAAAAATTATCTGGGGGCACAAAAATAAAAACCACAGCTTGAAGGCTCACCGCTTGGGTATATACAAATGTGAATACTAAATACGCACGGGTATAAAGCAATTGTGTTAATCACTAAATGTCTCAGGGGATATACAAAAGGGGAGATTTATCCTCCCGGGTAATTTCACAGCTTGTATATATATACGGAGGGGTGTGTATCTTAGGATATATACGTGGAGAGGCGTATATCTCATGTGTAAGTTTATTCAGGTATACACAAATACAGTTGCATAGATTATAATTACCATACATAGCAGCATATGTGTAGAGAACCTAGGATAACCCAAAAAAGTCAGTGACTTATTTCCATATACCTTCGGTATATACGTAGTGATGTGTATGTGTATATACAGTTTTCCTTCACATGTTCTCACAGTAGTTCTTACGTTCTTAATGGCTTCGGGTATCGTTGTACAAGGGAGGCGCCAGAATTTCTATACCGGGGGCCTATACCGGGGCTCAGGGTTGGCTGTCTGGTTGAAAGGAGGCCGGAGGGGATTGAAGATTAGTTGTACTCACCTAATTGTGGTTGCAGGGGTCGAAACTCAGCTCCTGGCACCGCCTCTTCACTGCATGAACTGTATCACTGTAGGCAACAAGAGCATTTCACCCCTCCATGGAAGATGTGTTCATTTAATATCACATACCTACAAGTTCCTCCCAAGAAGCTCATTGCTAGTAATCCCTTCCTTAAATCTCTTGTTAGAGCAACTGCTCAAGAAGAAATTTCTCACCTAGCTGGTAGTAACAAGTTATCACAAGTTATATACACTGATGGATCTAAACAGGAGTCTTCTGGCAGGGCTGCATCTGCTCTTGTTGCCACCTCCCTAGTTAAGAACGATAATAAATTTGTTGAGTTAGGCATAAGAATTAACAACTGGGCGTCTACACTGCAAACTGAATTGTTTGCAATCCTAATGGCGCTAAAGCTAACCTATGACACTGAGCTTGACTCTATCATCATTACTGATTCTATGTCATCATTGAAGGCTCTTGGCTCATATAATGACTCCAACAACATGCTCATTGGGGAAGCCAGGTATGGATACTCAAAAATTAGGGACAAAGGAATTAATGTACAATTGCTATGGATCCCATCACACATTGGATTACTCCTTCATGATAAAGTTGATATAAGAACATAAGAACATAAGAACGAAGGAACACTGCAGAAGGCCTACTGGCCCATGCGAGGCAGGTCCAAGTCTCCTACCGGCTTAAGCCAATGCACCCAACCTAGTCAGGTCAGGTCACATTGACTTAAGGGAGGAACACGGCAACTGACCTGTTAGCACAAGCTATCAGGTCTAACTCACACCCACCCACATCTACTCATGTATTTATCCAACCTATTTTTAAAGCTACACAACGTTCTGGCTCTATAACGGTACTTGGGAGTTTGTTCCACTCATCCACAACTCTATTACCAAACCAGTACTTTCCTATATCCTTCCTGAATCTGAATTTTTTCCAACTTAAAACCATTGCATGCGAGTCCTGTCTAGGCTAGATATTTTCAGCACACTATTTACATCCCCTTTATTTATTCCTGTCTTCCATTTATACACCTCAATCATATCCCCCCTAATTCTACGTCTTTCTAAGAGTGCAGTTTTCAGGGCCCTTAGTCTATCCTCATAGGGAAGGTTTCTGATACATGGGATCATCTTTGTCATCCTCCTTTGTACAATTTTCCAGAGAATTTATATCCATTCTGTAATACGGTGACCAAAACTGTGCAGCATAATCTAAATGAGGCCTAACCAAGGATGTATAGAGTTGAAGAACAACCTGAGGACTCTTATTATTTATGCTTCTTGATATGAAGCCAAGGATTCTATTAGCTTTATTGCGAACACTTATGCACTGTTGTCTTGGTTTCAGATTAACTGCTAACCAGAACTCCTAAATCTTTTTCGCAATCCGTAATATTAAGATCTACATTATTTAGTTTATATGTGGCATGGTTATTGTCCTGTCCAACATTTAGAACTTTGCATTTGTCTATATTAAACTGCATCTGCCACTTCTCCGACCACTGCATCAGTCTATTCAAATCTTCCTGGAGTGCTCGAATGTCCTCGTCAGAATGAATTCGACGGCCTATTTTGGTGTCATCGGCAAACTTGCCGATGTCGCTCTTTATGCCCTCATCTATGTCGTTTATGTAGATTGTGAACAGCAGGGGGCCCAACACTGACTCCTGTGGAACACCGCTCGTGACGCTTCCCCACTCTGATTTCTCCCCATTTATGCAAACTCTCTGCTGCCTATTTGTCAACCATGCCTCTATCCCAGGAAAAAATTTCTCCTCCTATTCCATGTGCTTTAATTTTCCTCAATAGTCTCTGATTGGGGACCCTGTCAAAAGCCTTACTGAAGTCCATATACACAATATCATATTCATTACCATGATCTACCTCCTCAAATACCTTAGTGAAAAAAGTTAATAAATTCGTAAGGCAGGAACGCCCCTTTGTAAAACCAACTGAGATTCTTTGATTAATTTATGCTTTTCAAGATGGCTACGAACTGCCTCGGCAATTATTGATTTCCATAAATTTTTCCCACTATGGAGGTTAGGCTTATTGGTCTATAGTTCGAAGCTAAGGACCTGTCACCTGTTTTGAAAATAGGTATCACATTTGCCATTTTCCACTTATCTGGCACCATGCCAGTTTGTAGTGATATGTTGAAAAGATTAGCCAAAGGTGTGCTAAGCTCCTCTTTACATTCCTTTAGAACCCTTGCATACAGTTCATCAGGCCTGGGGATTTGTTAGGTTTTAATTTATCTATTTGCCTAAGGACCATGTCACTTGTGATCCTAATAGTGCACAGTTTATTATCGTCCTGTTCTACATAATTTATCATTACTGGAATATCGCTGGTATCCTCCTGTGTAAAAACTGAGAGGAAGTATGTGTTAAAAATTCTACACATTTCCTTATCACTGTCAGTGAGCTGACCCGAGGAACTTTTGAGTGGGCCTATCTTGTCCCTGATCTTACTTCTGTATACCTGAAAGAATCCTTTTGGGTTAGTCTTCGATTCTTTTGCAACTTTAACCTCATAATCTCTTTTTGCTTTTCTAATTCCCTTTTTTATTTCTCTCTTTAACTGAATATATCGATTTCTTAATTGCCCCTCTCCTCTTTGATTTGCCTATATATGCCTCTCTTTTGACCAATCAATATTTAATCTATTGTTCATCCATTTAGGATCATTTTTGTTTGATCTGATTTCCCTATTTGGAACATAATTTGACTGAGCAGCTAGAACTATGCCCTGGAAAGCATCATATCGGCAACCATCACCACCTACCTGACCCTTAGTCAGGTCATTCCAGTTCAGCCCACCTAAGTAATTTTTCAGTCCTATGAAATCAGCCAAGCGAAAGTCAGGGACGGAGACTTGATTGCCATTATTAGGGGAATTCCATGATATATTAAAACTGAGTGATTTGTGATCACTCTCCCCAAGCTCATCATTAACCTCAAGATTATTAATTAGTGTTTCCCTACTGGCAAGAACCAAGTCAAGGAGGTTATTTCCCCTAGTTGGCTCTGTCACAAACTGTTTTTAAAAAACAATCCTGGATCGTATCAAGAAAGTCACCTGACTCTAAATTTCCTGTCAAATTGCTCCAGTCAATCTGTCTATAGTTGAAATCTCCCATTAGCACAACATTTTCGTATGTAGATGCCTTACGAATTTCGTCCCATAGAAGTTTACTGCACTCCCTATCAAGATTTGGGGCCCTGTAAATCAACACCCAAAATTATTTTTTCTCGGCCCTCGAGAAGCTGTAACCAAACAGATTCAGTGGCTGACGCTTCTAATTTAATATCTTGTCTAACACAACAATTTAAATTGTCTCTGACATACATCGCTACTCCACCACCTTTCCTGTTGACCCTGTCAGTGTGGAATAGTTTATAGCCTTGTATGTGACATTCAGAGGGCATCTCTCTATCTTTCAGATTGAGCCAGGTCTCTGTTATAGCAATAATATCTATGTTTCCTGCACTTGCAATTAATCTTAGCTCATCTATCTTATTTCTAACACTCCTGCTATTAGTATAGTAAAACCTTAAGGGAGCTAGTCCCTTGCTGCCCTCTGCTGTCCCCCTTTGTTTGCTGACCTGTTCTATTGTCTTTATTTATAACTTCATGCTGAATGCCTTTTATACATTTACTGTTTCCAACCCTAGTGTTGCAACCTGCTTGTTTCCCACACACACCCATACCTCTATCTTCCATCAGTTTAAAATCATAGGCATTTCACCATGGCCTTCTCAATCGAGTCTGCAAGTGCTACCACCCCTGACCCAGAGAGATGTACCCCATCCCTTGCATACATATCATGTTTGCCATAAAAGTTGTTCCAGTTGTCAATGAATGGGATTGCAAGTTCCTTGCAGTATCTGTCTAGCCAGCAATTTACACCAATTGCCCTAGACAACCATTCATTTCCTACTCCCCTTCTAGGCAAGATGCTACATATGATTGGGATCCCTCCCTTAGACTTAATGAAATCTATAGCTGACCTGTACTTATCTAGCAGCTCTTCTCTCCTACCCTTCCAATATCATTTTCCACCAGCACTGAGACAGATAATGGGCTTGTTCCCATTACCTGACATGATATTATCCAGCCTGTTGACAATGTCCCCAACACCAGCTCCAGGAAGCACACTCTATCTCTCATCTTCTTATTCCTATTACAAAAAGCACGGTCAATATATCTTACCTGAGAGTCACCAACCACAAGAATGCGCTACCTTCATTAGCAGGAGCATAGTACCCTTGCCTTCACTGGCACTGAATTTACATTCACCCTGGAAAACAGAGAAGCGATTTCCTACCTTCAGATTTTCCTCTTAACTTTCCTTATTCTGATGCGCCTCCCATTACTGTGAACAACTCGCCACTTGTAGCAGGGCTGGGCTGCACCCCCACTGTGGTAGCCGTTGTTACCTCCCCAACTACAGCCTCCTTACAGCGAGAGACAGACTGCACCTCACTGCTAGAAGTCTCATTCCCCACAACTCCAGCCACCTCACACTCTCTCCCAGACCCATTGAGGTGGACCTTCAGCCTCCTAATCTCCTCTTGGAGAAGCAAGACCTCCTCCTTCAACTCTCCAACCTCAGTTTTTAAAACACTGCAGAAGCAAGCCATGCTTTGTAACCGTCCACGCTAATCCCCAAAGCAGCTCAGGGTCTGTGACCTCACGTGACGACTGACCACTGACGAGAAGGAGAATGTAGAATATAACTTTGGTATAACTGTGTCTAGCATTAGGAATAATATTAGGAGAGAAGTAAATAATGAAAATGATTGTTATAGGAATGCAGTTAGAAGCCTGAGTAGATCTATAACCCACTATGATAACATGAACGTAGATAAGTATGTTTATGGAGCAACTTGTAATGTGAACAGACTGACTGATGTTGTAGTGGCCAGGCTTGGGCTTGGTTACAAGTATTTCGGCAGTTTGGGAGACACACAGATGATGATCAAACTAAATGTAAATTATGTGATCAGGCATATGGTCACTCTCTTGAACACTATGTGCTTAATTGTCCACTTATTGAGGAATACAGAGACAGACAGTATAATAACCTATGTGACATGTCAAGATATCTTATTAATGAAAATAAGATACCAGATATACTAAGCAAATTTCCTAAATTTGCTTGTAACAGATAAGTGAACTATAGATATGTAGATATAAATCCATATGTATTCCTGTTAACCCTTTGGGGCCTAGTTCCTAGGCCTTTTGTGTATCCATATGCTCTCGCGCTACCGTCCACAGGATGGATATGGGGTGCACAATAAACTAGCCACTTCGGTGGCAAAATCTAATCTAATCTCTTCACTGAGTGCTGCAGCGCTGTATAGCCCTTGTGGCTTAGCGCTTCTTTTTGATTATAATAATAATTCACTGAGTGCTACTAGGTCCTCTCTCTCCCTGCTCCATGAGCTTTGTCATACCTCATATTAAAGCTATGTATGGTTCCTGCCTCCACTAGTTGTGTAGCAGAGCTATTGTTTTTATTATATTGGGGATTTGGGGGCTTTTAGGGCTTAGGGAATTTTGGGGGTTTTAAACCCTCCCCAGGGTTTCCCCCATGCAACAAGCTCTGTCGGACCAGGACTCTTAAATTTTAAAGGAAATATTACAGGAAAAAATATATCACATATACGAGGCCTGGTCTCAGACTGGGCCGCGGGGGCGTTGACCCCCGAAAGCCCCCAGCTATATAAGTGCATGCTGAATGCAAATAGATATTCGTAGGATTTTCGTGTCATCTTAGTGTTCATGAGACGAAATAACAAAAATTTCCTGTCAGTGTAAAGCTTTAATTTAAAGGCTTCAGGGCCCTAAGTCTGTTCAACTGCCTCCCAGTGTACATAAGGGGAATTACCAATAGAATTACCAAAATTAAAAAGTAATTCAAGTATCATGTAAGCTAGCCTAAGGGGCCCCCATAACAATTCAAGATTCAGGGCCCTAAAAATGTAAATCCGCCATTGGTAGAACCTCCCAGGATGGTAATAAAATAACTTTCATCCTTACTGCACAACACAAAATACAAAATTCTCCGAGGCTATAGGTCCCCCACAGTCACACTGGCAGAGCCAGACTTCCTGGATCATGTCTCCAATGTTACTTCCTATATTCTTTCCCCTCATAAAAGTACTGTTGTGGCTAATATCACCCCCAAATAAACAATTTGCATAAGAAATAATATCTTTTCCCGGAGTGTGGACAGCTTGCTTGTATTTACAAATATAAAAGAAAGGCTATGAGACCAGCCTATAAACTAGATACCAACCAAGTTTTTTGACGTTTCGCTCTATGTACAACTTAATAATTCACTAATGGTAGCATTTACTTTGTAATTCAAGTCTTACAACTGTTGTTTCCCTTCACCAAGAAATGTATTAATATACCTTGCAGATGATGTATCTTAAATAGAAGTCAAAGTGACTTATTTACATCGGGGTCGCTCATTCTCTCTTAGGAAAAAATGATTTAGATGTGGAGGACATGCATTTAAAAACAAGATACATAGATCTTACCAGCAAGAAGTGAGTGGTGTTGAGGAGGAGGACTGGTAGTGTGGCCCCAGGGAAGTGTGGCCCCTGGGTTGTTGGCCCCTGGGTAGTGTGGTCCCTGACCAGACAACATATCATTGTAACCCCAACTCCGTTACTACACACTTCTTTTCTTCTATATAATTTGCACCTGTACGTTACATTTACGTATTACTTTATTACAATAATAATACTGATATTAGAGAGCATAAATCTAGTTATGCCACACTTGGGAAATTAGCTCATACTTGCCTTCAGTAAATATATTTATCATTTTACATATATATCTCGCATTGGCACTCCCCGTGGCACTGCCGTACACTTATATATGCAAAATAAATGCATATTTTCCTCATTATTATGACATTAAAGAAATAATGTTTTACCAGGGTACATATCAACAGAAAACATTAATATATGCAAATAGAATAAAGCAAACCGGCAACACCATCACAGAAGATTAAGTAATTAAAGTTCGTTGATGCCAGCCAGTCCCTTCCAGGGGGCGCCACAATGATGGTGGAGGCTTTTGATCCAGGGAATTAGACCTATACTCTCCGTTCTTGAATCGAACCTGACTGCCTCCTATTAAGTAGATTCTATATTACCCCTACGAGTTTAGGACATCTCATGAATATAATAATAATAAGAAACCCAAGAGAATCATCCTATAAAACGAAAGGAACATGTGAAAGACTTGGGAGTAATTATGTCGGACGACCTTTCTCTCAAAGAACACAAGGGTCTTAGTTATATGATGACCTACAGCTGGAGCTTTTGGTCATCTGACCTTAAACTCCAGGGTTTCCCCTAGCTTACCGGTCCACCTCTTTAAAGTTTGTATGTATAATGTTCGCCCAGACCGGGGTCCTGGCACGGGTCTTAATCTTGCGATGATCCGTCTCTGGCTCCTGAAGGAGAATGGGACCACCTCTTTAAAAAATCATGGTTATGATTATAACCATTAGTTCAGGACGCAGCATATACTTATGACAGATGACGTGGAGCAATGGTAGGCGGAGTCACCAGTGAACATAGCCAGTATTGGAAGTAGGTAGTGTCTATAGGTTAGATAAGGTTTGAAGAAATCCCTACATCAACATCTCAAGATGTTGATGTGTTTAACAGGATGTAAAGAAGCCAATGTGTGGCGAAATGTTTCCAAGATAAAGATAACCAAATGTTGCACAAGTGTCTCATTTATCAACATTTAACAGTTTATCAACACCTAAGGTGCTGAAACAAATTTTTCAGTAGCTATGGAAAAAGGTTGGATAAGTAAGTGGGAATGGTTGGTTTTGAGAAAGACCTGCCTTGTATGGGCCAGCAGACCTGCTGCAGTGTTCCTCCATTTAAAGAACCCCCTTTTGGGGATACTTAATAGTATTAATAACTAGATGTATTCCGGTCACTGTGCGATCCATGAAAGGTATTCCTAAATCTCACAAGCCAAGCCTCTACATCAGATGCAAAAGAAATAGTACAGGGTCATAATTAAATTCTATTGCAGCAAAATTACTATTACATTCATGGGAAAGTGCTAAACCATTATGGGTTATGCAACACCAGGGGGATATAATGGGAGGCATTCAGACTCGATCCAAGGAAGGGAAACAGGTCCAGTTCCATAGGCAACAAAATACATGTAGTATATTTATTCGTTTATGTATATGTTTGTAATACATAGGTAAATTTATATGTCATGCTGAATATGTAAAACTTGCGATTTTGGCTTAAATATCAACGCTCTTCTTGCTGAATAAGGCAAGCGAAAATTTGTGTATGCAATAATTTCGCAAAAATCATTCTGAACCTAACGAAAAAAAAATACTTTGTTGTATTTGTTTATTATTAAATTATTGTAAACTTATCTAAAATATATTTAGTTGGATTAGGCTAAATTAATTTGCACTTGTTATAATAAGGTTAGGTAAGTTTTCTAAGGTTTTCTTGGTCCAAAATTAATAATTTTTACATTAACATAAATAAAAAACAAATGCACATCTTTAAACGTATAAGAGAAAAATTTAGAAAGGACTTAATTTAAATGAGTTCTTGCTAATTGACCAATTTTACCTATTCGGCATTTTGGAGGGATGTGTAATATATCTTTATATATGCTTCTAAACTGTTGTATCTGGGTGCCTATGCAAAAACAGTGATTATGCATGAGTGAGGTGAAAGTGTTGAATAATGATGAAAATATTTTCGTTATAGGTATTTTCTTTCTTTTTGGGTCACCCTGCCTAGGTGGGAGACGGCCGAGGGATATGTTGTGTATCTTTATACGTATATGCTTCTAAGCTGTCGTTCTGGGCACCTCTGCAAAAACAGTGATTATGTGTGAGTGAGGTTAAAGTGTTGAATGGTGATGAAAGTATTTTCTTTTTTGGGATTTTCTTTCTGGGTCACCCTTGCCCTCGGTGGGGAGATGGCCCCCTTTTTAAAAATAAATAAATTTTATATATATATATATATAATTTTATATAAAATATATAAATATATATATATATATTTTATATATATATATATATAAAATATATATTTATTATTTTAAAAATACAAAATACATACATATTTCGCCTGTATGGGGGTTACATGGGTCGAATCACAGCTCCTTTTGTACTCCCCAAAGGAGTTGGTAGTTGGGGAATTTGAGCCCTTTAAACTTGTGGGTTTCCCCAAGATTCCCCCCCTTTCCCTTGGCTTCAGGGATCCTATCATATTTACTCCTAAAACATGTATGGGGGATTTCCCTTCCAACCACAAAAAAAAATCGTTCCATTCCCGACCATCATAGACTAAAGAAAAGCTTCCTGACAATGCTGTGGCTCATCTTTCTTTAATTTTTAAACTGTCCCCCCAAAATTTCCCCATATTTTTGTTTCTAAAAGAGCCAATCCCTATCTGCCTATTAATTCCCCCGGGGAATTTGCTTTATCAAAATTCCCCTTTTGGCTCTTCTACCCTTCAGCATCTTTAAGTTTTAAATTTTCCATTAGCCTCTCCTCTTACCCTCATGCATTTTGTTTTACAATTCAATGAATATTTCCCTTTTACCCTCTCCAGTATTTTAACATGCTTTTTAAAGGAGTGGGTTTCATATGGGCGGCATAATCCAAGGGGGGCCGACGTAGTTGTTGAAGGACCTGGAATGATTCTTTTTAGGTTTTCCCTAAAGGGTTTACTCTGAGATTTCCCAGATGGGGCTTTTGTTACAGGTTTTCCCCTTTTTATGAGTGGTGATATACTGGGGCATATGGTCATCCCTAGGTTTTTAAACTGAGTGAAATTGCCCCCCTGCCCCCTTAATTTTACCCCAGTGCCCAGTTCTTCTTGCCCCTACCCCAAAATGTTCATAACCTTTATTTCCCAAATTTAATTCGTCACCCCTTAAACCCAACCCTTTTTCTTACGTTTTTCCAAAGCCATTTTGAGCCTTTTTTTTTATTCTTTTTATTTTATATCAAAAAATAGGGATACAATCTGATTCAATCCCATCGGGAATTTTTTATTCACATAAACTAGAAACAGAAAAAGGGTCTTAATACAGATTTTTGGGGAAACCCCCACGGGTTTTACTATGCCATTCTGAAATTCTTTTCTATCACAAAGGATGGTTTTCCTGTGATGGGGGTTTCTGTTATTCATCAAAAAGGATGGTTTAAATTTAAAAAAAAGGTAATCAAATATTTTTAGCTTAGGTAGGGGGGACTTCAGTACTGTTTGAAAATACCATCAACCCCATTCTTCAGTACACTAATTCTTAGCAACAAAAAATTTGATAGTTTGCCTGAATCTATTCCCGGGATGTTACCCAACTGTTGGGGGTACTTTTCTTGAGCAAGATCCAATGACTGTTCGCCACCATGAAAAAGGGTAAAAACATTAGGGGCCAGAACGTCCAAAAATTTTGGGGAAAGGGAAACTTTAGAGAAAAATAGGTCTTCCTAGCTTTTATAAATTTTGTAAATTTAAACAATGGCTCAGGAAAAACTGAAATTTTTCCTTCCCCAAATTTTGTAAGTAATAGTAAATTTTTTTTCCAATTTACTTTTTAAATTTTTTATTCTCCTGTACAAAAAAAATTTTTCTCAGATATTTTTTATTTTATTTTAAAGGGGGGGGAGGGAAGGCAAGGAAAGCTCAAAAACCCCCGGGGGGAAATTGGAAGAAAGATTTGACCCAAAGGGGAAAAGGGAAGCTCAAAAACCCTTTAGTTCAAAGTACCTTTTCCCCTTAAAAGGGCCCCAAAATAAAATAACTTTTTAGAAATGCCTTCTTTTAAATTCCCTTTAAAATACCATGTAAAACTTTTTTTATTTGGAAAAGGAAAACTTCCTTTGAAGGCTGTTTAAAAATTTAAAAAACCCAAAATTTTTGGGTTTTTCCCTAAATCCAAAAGGGGGAAAAGGGTTTGGGGGCCTACAGAATAGTTTTGCCCTTTCTAAATTTCAGTTTTCAACTTAGTACCTTTAATGGTTTTTTTAGCAGGGGCTACAAAATTAAACAGTTTATATTCCCTTTGGGAATTTCCTTTAAATCCATTTTTAAAAGCCCGGGGAAAAAATGATAAGAAATTTTGGGTTTTTTTGAGTCCCTTGGGAGTGGAGTTTGGCTCTTAAAATTTTTTTTATCAAGATTTCTTCACCGCATCAAAGTGCCAATTATTGAGCGTAAATTTTTAACTGGGTGGGGAAGTTTTTGTAAAAAACTTACACAAAAAATTTCTTGGGTTTACGGGGTAAAAAAAATTAAAAATTTATCAATTTAAATTTTTTTTTTAACTTTAAAAATTTGGTTTTTCTTGAAAATGGGGTTTTTGAAATTATGAAATTTTATTGAAAAACCCCAAATTTAAAAATTTCCAAAAGGGAAAGGGTATTTTATAGAAAAATAAAATTAAAAACTTTAGATTTTTTGGCTAAGGCACTTTAAAGCTATGAAATTTCCCCCACTTTTTAACATAGGTACTTACTGAAATACTTTAAAAATTAATCTTCTAAAAAGTTACACTAAAATTAAGCTGTCCCCAAAAACGGGCATATTTAAATTTTGTAATTGAAGGCATACTC